CATTTGAGGACGACTGTAGTAGTTTAATGTGTGAACTACCAAGTGTCTCACCCTGTTTTCCTCTCTTCCAGTCCAAGCTGGGCTACCTGACGTTGTTCTTCTGCACCTTTCACACCTACCTGTACGGCTGGAATAAATTCCTCAGGCCCTCGTCCTACCCGTGGTACACTCTTCCGGGCTACATGCTCTGTCTGATCGTGCCCACCGTGGTGCTGGTGCTCAAGCTGCTGCTCCTCGTGCCCTGCGTGGATCGCAGCCTCACCCGGATTCGGCGGGGCTGGGACAGGACTGACAAAGCGGAGGACAGCGAGAAATCACTGCTGACGTAGGACCGCCAGAGACACAAATGCAGCGATTATGCTTTCCAGGGGCACTGAACACTATCTAACACAAGTCAGTTCAAGGTCACTGCAATAACAAATGATGCATTATTTGTCGATACTTACTATATACAAATACAGGGACCACAGTTGGAACACAAAGCAACAGAAGACATATCTTTGATTCGATTACTGAGATTCAAACCTTTGTTTTTGATGACGGACTCTATCCTCTGTGTTGAGGACAACTCATTTCTAGACGGATGTTCTGCCATTCTTCAGAGACTGCTTTTTTTTTCAGCAGTTTTTAGCTGGAGGGGTCTTGTTGCTCTACTTTTCTTTTTGAAGTACTCCAACAATGGTGGGTTCAAGTCAGGGGACGAACTCGGCCAGGTCGCAGTTTTCACTTTGCTCTTTTTGTGACTTTGTCCTTCGAATGGATCTCATGGTGGAAAATAAAACTCGTTTTCAAACTTCTGCAGACTGGGCCTCATCTTATCCACCAGCATTTGGTTTATGCACAGACATTCATGGTTCACCGCTCCATCGCTTTAAGAAGCCAAAAACTTCCAGAACATCCTTCCTCCTTCAGCAACACTTCACCTCTCCAACATCCAGGATGGGGCTATGGAAGATGATCTACGTCTTCTGTTCTCAAATTGTGGACGAACCGTCAAGGCCTTTAAGTTCTTCCAGGACGTGGCCTGATCCAGATGTTGTCAGTAGAAGAAGCAATTCCGGCTCTGATGGACGTTCACAACAATGACATGGGAGGAAATCACCATTGAAAGTTTCCTTCTCAAAGTCTACCATCTAACCTTCAAATTTTGTCATCTCCTGACACCTTTTGTTTTCATGCAGCTCCATATCATAATACTGCCACCTCCGTGCCTCACTGTCAGGACGATGCATCCACTGTGGTGGTCCTGGTCAGGTTCACACCAAACATGCTGGACTCCATCTGAGCAGAACAAATTAGTCTTGGTTTCATTCCACCACATCTCCCAATAATCATCCAGCTTCTCTTAATGTTCCTTCATAAAGTTTTATTTTTCATTTTACAGTTTTCTGCTGAAGAGCATGCAAAGTTGTTTTTTTCCCCCCTTGTCCTCCCTCCACACTTTGTACTTTTGTGGAAACCGCAGTGAAATTTTGTTCTTTGGATGGTTCTCCTGCTGGAATATTCCTCTCCTTCAAGCTTTTGCAGACTGGGAGTCATCTTGTCAGCCAGTATTTTAGTTTATCCACAGACATTCATCTATAAATATCATCTCCCCAACACCTTTTGCACTATGCAGCCCCGTATCATCACACTCCCACCTCCGTGGTAGTCCTGGTCAGGCTCACAGGGGCTCCTAACGCACATCAGGCTTCTTTTCATGTTATTTAACAAATTTTCATGTGGTAGTTTTGGTAGTTATGGCCTCCATCCATAGAAGATGATGTTGTAAAGAGTCCTCCATACTGTCTGAGCTGTCACAGAAGCTCTGATTTCCACTGATGACCCGTGTGCTGAGCCTGAGTATTTTTTCATAGTTAGATTATGAAAGTAATGCCCTGTCATGTTATGCAGTTCTGATTGGTAATACCGTAGCTTGTTCGATACGTCCTGATCACAGCTCTGATTGTTAGTCACTGATCTTCCTGTATCGTTTGACTCACAAACTTTTTCCAGTGATTACAGCTTTTCTAACTTGTGTGTCAGTGATCACAGGTGTATTTACTTTAGCTGCACCGAGTTTCTACTTGGTGGTCTGTGTTTGCAATCTTTTTCCAGTATTTGTCTTTGACTGTTCAAAGGAGGAACTACGACGTGTGTCAGAAAAGTTCCAGGACTGGTGTCACAAAAGATATTTTTCAAATCCAAACTACAAACTACAAGTAATCCCCCTGGAGTCTAACACACTTCCCCAGCCTTCTCTGCCACGCCACCATGCACTCCTGGAA